AAATCCATTTTGTTGGTAAAATAACTAGTTGTTCTTTGTCAGATAGCAACAACTCTTTGATCTCAGACTTCCAGCCTCTAGAATAGTGAGAAATAAATTTCTGTTTTTGAAGTCACCCAGGCTGTGCTATTTGTTACAGCAAGCCTGGCAAATGAATACAAGGCTGAGGATATTTGCTAGAGAAGAAAATCATATTCAAAATAAAATAACTCTCCAGGTTTGCAAAAAGAACAAAAGAAGGACAGTAACAGCAACAAAAACCAATCAAATGAAAGACACCCATGTGAAATGGACCTGGTTGAGGCTCCATCCATTTCTTGGGTGCCCAAAGATATCAAGTTCATAAGAATGTGGATATGCACCTTCAAAGCAAAACAACTGGGGAATGAAGATTCCAGCAAGCGGTGTGGTGTCTGCTGTTCCCTAGAGGGCACAGGTCCCTATTTATTCAGATGTTCCTCCTACCCCATGCCCCCAGCTCACAGAATGCACAGGTGCTCTGCAGACACATGTTCTGGTCCCACAAGCTCAGTTTCAAGGACCAGAAGCTTTGCACTTCAGTTTCCATAGAATTCTACAGAACAGTATCATACCTTGCCAAAACTTCCTTTCCCCAACATTTTGTGCAAGATAAAATCCTCGATTTTTAATTTCATATGTAGGGATGGTCTTTCTACGTTTGGCTCAGGTTCTGGACGATCGCTTATTTTCTGCACCCCATCCAAGGGAGATTCCCAGGAGATTCCCTGAGGCTCTGAAATGACAAGCCAGGGGTTAAAATGAGACAAGGAACAATGAAGGACCCTTCCAGCTACTTCCAAACCACTCTCTTCCACTTCCCATTCTGAGGCTGCATCCACAATGTGGCGAGAGGGTCCCTGCAGTCACAGGCAGCACCTCCTGCTTCACAAGCCTGGCATTTAGGATGTAGACTGTGTCTCGGTCTATACAACACACCAGGAAATTTTCAAGTTAAGAAATGTATTGCAATCAGCCAAAGATCATATATGCAACTTGAATGAACCCTTTTAATAATGTCAAATCATGGACAGATTAGGGATTTTACTGAATTTGAGGAAAAATATTCTCAGTTGCTTGCATGACTCAGGCACAGTGGTATCAATTTATATGATGCCATGTGCGAGAGAGGCAATGGATAGCAGATTGTTAAAGATCTGAATTGCATCATTCATTATCGTTTTCAAGTTAAGATGCTGTCTAATTTGGTCATCTCTGAGACACAGGCTACTTCACCGCCTGGAAACCCTTCCTAAATCCAACCCAAACCTTTCTTTAAAAGTTTTTAAGTCAATTCCTTGTCCAATGACAGACAAGGTATAGAAAAACTTTTTTGGAACATTTCCCTACCCCATGCACTATTTCTTTTATATTTCAATACTTAAGTTTATCTTTTTTTATTCTCCTTACCTCCAAGGAATGTGTTTTACAATGTATTCTGAAAGTTCCAGAACCATGTTGAATGCTCTATCATGAATGATCTTCAAACTGTAGGTTGGATAAACTTCCATAATGTCATAAACGTTAAGGATTGTGTGTCTGATATGTTCCCTTTTCTACTCTTAAACTTCCCAAAAAAATCTCAAAGTTGCAAGACAAGATCATGGTCTATGGCAATCTCACTGTTGACCTTTATGGTGGATTTATTTCCATAAGACCCTTTCACAGTGACAGGAAGCAACCTTTTAAAATTATAAGGTAAATTTGTAATTGTTTCCTCCACACCTATCCCATTTTCTCTCCCTACCTCCCCTCTTACAAAGGTTTCATAGTGGGATGTATTTTTGGTTTCATGTCTAAGAAATTGGAACCTCTTAGGTAAATCTGTAATCTTTAAATAGCAGACACTTATCTGTCAGGTCAGGTAAAATAAAAAACTGAAGCCCAGAATACTCAGGCTAAGGTCAATCAGCATTAATTACTGACACTGATTCTACCTCGGAGGAGAGCACTACCTCTTTTCCCTGGTGCCGGTACATGTGGCAGCGTTGCTTCACCTTTTATGGAGCAGGGGAGACCAATTTCGACTGGGCCTTCTCTGAAGATGTGTTCTGAATCTCTTAAGCAGCGAGCCTGGATTACAAAGAAAGAGTCAGACCACCCAACTCCCCACCTGCCACTGATAGTTCATCCCAGCCTGCTCTCCAGGAGAAAAATCTACAGTTCCTGGATTAAAAAGAAAATCAAAGCTCTTTCCCTCAGCACTCTTTTATCCTTCCACAGGATCCATGTCCTGTGAAAAATCTTGTCATATTTAATGCACCAGCAGAACATAGTCACTTCCTTCAGATTTTTCAGGGGCAAATGGGTTCTCCTCTGTTAGCCACATCATTCTATCACAAATAAGGACAGAGGGGAATGGATGGAATAATAGTTGACATAGGCAACACCAAGTTTTGGAAAGGGTTTGTTCTTGGATATGTGGATTCAGCGCATGAGTAAACGGCAAAGCAACAGCTGCTCTGGACTCAATGTCCTGAGGGCATTCAAGGGTTGATATTAGCAAATAAGTGTCCCCCATTGCTGTTACATAAGCTTAGTATATAGCTATAATGCTGGCAATGAATCATCAGTAATTTTAATTAAATCATTTGATTCTGCCCTTGCTCATTCCACAAAGAATTTAAGCTCTTCTAAGGGGCCATACAAGACAAATGCATTAAATAAATCAGTCTCTTGAAGGGAGGACATGGACATGAAGATGAAAAGGGACAACACAGGTGCTCAGAAAGTGCTTCTGTAAACCTGTGGAGTCGCTACAGCTCAAAGAGAAGGGGCTTGAAGAAGTTCATATTGAGCTGAATCGGGAACTTTCCACCTCAACGACTTCCTACCTGTTGGGTGCTCTCAATCATTGCCAGTGCTTCAGCCATTAGTTTCTGGTTGATGCCACACAGATTGGCCACCTTTGTCTGGCATCTGTGATGCACATTCATGCCACATGCTGAAAGGAAGACAGCAACACCATGAGCAGGAGTGACAGCACTGCCTGACCTGCGCACACCATCTGTTTTAGGGACCTGGATGTTTGAAGGCACAACTGGCAAATCCCTGATGCCATCTTCCCAAGAGAGGGAGATACTGAATCAAAATAGGGCGGTTCTTTTGTGATATCACCACAAAATATAAGTAAAACATTAGCAAATAAAAATACCAAGAAAACCCAACTGAAAAAATTCAATGTGTTATGATGCTGCTGCTGTGCCTCCCACTTCCCTTCCTGAAGCAAACACAGTCCAGGCACACCTGGATGCAGGGGAATGACTCCCGTGGAGGGACCCAGAGCCTGTGGGCTGAGTATGCCGGGCATTGCTGGGAGAAGGCGCATGGTGCTGGCCCTCCCCTGTGGGATGTGCAATGTGCAATGCTGGGCGGAAGGTCTCTCTCTCCCACTTAGACTGAGCCAAGCACCCATTTTCCCACATTGGGCTACAAGAAGGTCCTCTATCTTTAGGCTGGAACCCAGGGTGAACCTCAAGCTGCAGAACTGAAATGGAGAAGGCGAGGGTGGTCTGTTCATGTGTGAGGTTGGGGGCGGAGGAGGAAAAGTGGTCCCTAGGCCACATTCTTAGCAGTGGCAGAGGGTTCACGGAACTGAACAACTTCTGGCACTGAGACCTATGATGTGTGTGTGAGGAGGTGAGAATTCTGACTCATTCCTCTTGAAAACAGCATGATAAAGTTTACCTTCCTGTCACTGTGCAGCTTTTTTAGATTGGGGCATGTGTCTGCCTGGGTGTCTGTGTAAATGCAACTATTACATCGTGTCATTAGTTTTAGAAAATTAATTTCTGCTTATGAAACATCACCCTTACAATGAGGGAAAAAAAGCTAACAAAGATTACCAAATTCTAGCTATAGAATTCTAATCTCAAGCCCTACTTGAGTCTATAAAAGTATATCAGAAAGTATTGCCATGATTGAATTAAGTAGGAGAAACTACTAAATCAGTTTATCTGCTTATTAAACAATTTGTTTGTAAAGAACTTATCACAGAGAATGGCATCTAGTAGATGCTCAAGAAATACAATGTCTCTTCATCTTTATTATCCATAATGATGAAATGTGTATTAAGCTACCAAGGTGAAAATTTAGCAGCTGTCACCATTTGTTTTAATTAGTTCATTCTTCCTCACTGCGAAACAAAATAAAGCATCATTTTCTATGTAAATAATTATAAAATATTTCTTGCCCCAGTGTAGATGCATTGAGTCATAAAAATCCATTTGAAATGAAATCTTTTATGCATATTTAAAGTCTGAATAATAAAGATGCTTTTAGAAAGAATTTCTGCCCTTCTGAGTTGGGCATTATTGGCCCAACCCACTTGTTAATGCAGGTTTTCCTCTTCCTGGCTCCCTGCTCTTACTCCTTCTTGCCAGGCAAAGGGCTGAGAGAGGATTGAGCGCAGGGACAGGGATTTACTCAGCGCCTTACAACTGCGGCCCCCTGTGCACTTGTCTCTGAGGCTCTGTGAAGAGAAGGCCCCGGCTCACAGGACAGAGTCCTCAGCCTTTGTTACTAACCTATCAGGTGATAACTCCACCTCTGGGAGTGCAGAGAGCCCTGCTGGATGACTATTTTCATGGGAATTGAGTGACAGAGACAGGGTCAGAAGAAAAGGAGGCCCTGCTTAAGAGGGATGGCTTATGACAGAGTAGATGCAGAGAGGGGGAGGCGAGAAAGAGGGAAAGAGATGACAGCAGAGGGCGAGTGTGGGACAGGACAAGGCATGGAGAAGTGAGGAAGTAGGGGCTTTGGGAGTGTTAGAGGCCAGAACAGAATGGTGGGGGGGTAGGGGGGAGGGAGGGAAGGAGAGAGGGGAGAAGAGAGGGGTAGAAAGAAAGGAGGGAGGGGAGTTCTTTTCAGTACAGGAGGTGGGGGAGAGTATGGGAAGGGAATAGAATGGGGAAGAAAGAACCTAGAAGAAGACAGAACAAAGCAAGGCATGGGAGACGTGAAATAATGGCAAGGAATGGTCGTGGAGTTCTAAGCCAAGGGGCCAGCATAACCTCTGAGACTGGGGTGCAGGGCTCCAGGGAAAGAACACCTCAACGAGGAGACCCTTGTAGGGCCCCAGCAGATAGGAATGATTATTCATATCCTGCTGTCTGGTGAGCGTACTGAGAATCACTTCTTGCCCATGAACTCTTTTTTTTTTTTAAACATTATTTTAAGCTTTTATTTATTTATGTATACAAGAACTGGGGTGTAGGCCAGAGGTGCAGGGGGTGAGAGGAGACAGAGACAGAGTGGGGAGCAGAACAAGCAGACTGACTGAAATACACTGCTGAGGGGAGCAGTGGGTGAGTCAGGAGAGGTCTGCTGCGCCATGTGGGTAGCTCCCCTGGTTGGGGATGGAACTCAGGCTGCAGTGGCTGGTGATAGCTTCATAACACTGAGACTTAACCCCTGCGCCACCAGGGAGGCCTGCCTATGAACTCTTAACCTACCACATGGTAGCAGCCCACCCATGCAGAGTTGGACAGGGAATGCAGAGGAAAGTGAATACGTGCTCCGTTTGGGCTCTGAAGGAATTGTGTGAAGCTTGACTACATGTGTGCTTGGGCTTGGGTAATGATTTGAAAACCTAATCCTTCCTGCCTCCTTTGAGATGTTACTCCACGTGCCAGCAGACACAGGAACACAATTGGGATGAGGAAGGGGAGACATATATTTCAGTAGTATAAAATAAAATGGGCACCTAGCAAAACATAAAATGGCATCAATGTTGACTATTGGTCTGTGCTGCAGGAAGCCTCCCTCACCCCTTCCCACACACAGTCAAATGCAGAAATGCTTTGTCAGATCTGGTTAGAATTGTTTTCCTTCCTTCTCCCTAATCCTGGCATTGCAGCATCTCAGTTTCTAAAGGTTATTGCCTTAGCTGTGTGGAATTTTAGAGCAAGAAAGCCCTTTCTGCTTTTTCCTCAGGCAGGTCTGAATAAGTCCATCAGTGCAGGCTGCAGCTGCATTGCCAGCAGGCTGCATTGCCTCAGCTGCAGCGCCAGACTTTGAGGTGAGACAAGAGAGGGGACATGACGGTCAGCGCTGAGGGGCCTCTTCCCAGGCACACTGCGTTTGCAGCATGATTTGAGGATGGTGTGGAACCAACCATCAGCCAAGCAGATGTGCTGGGCTTGCTCCTGAGGGGAGTAAGGAAGGCTCTAGCTCTTGGTGCAAAGGTGAACTGCAGGGCTGGGGTGCAGGAGCTGCAAGTCTGAGAGGGCCAGGCCCAGGACACCCAGGCTGAGTGGGAAAGGTTCGAGTCCTAGGGCCAGATCCACTTGAAGTCAGTAGGCCAAGAGCCTTGCTTAGACCCTGAATATTCTATTCATATCTGGGACTTAAGGATTAGGGTATTGGGGGTACAAAGAAAAGAACAGCCATGGCTGAGTGTCCCAGGACTTTCTCATTTGTGATCTTGGGGCTGGTCTGGTTGGTTGAAGAGGTCGGCCTCTCCCTCCCTCCTTTCTCCTTTCTCTTAGAGGGTCTATCCAGGGCACCCTTCCCCATGGACTCACCATCACATTTCAGTCCTTGCTTAGCCAGGCCCCATAGCAGGGTCCCACAGTGCTCACAGAAGGTCGGGCTCTTGTAGTTGTAGACTTTGAAGCGATGTGGCATGTCAATTTTGAACCTCTCCTTGTGGAACTGAAAGGAGCAGAGAACATGTCACTTTCTGTGTGTTCCTGGGATCTCAGCTGTTGATGTCTTAGCAGATACTGTAGCATAGCCAACAGTGAGGAAAAAACATTGGCACGATAGGTATTTTATACCATAATTTTTACTTGTCAAGCTTAGAGTCCTGTCTAATGAAAGCAGACAGCCATTGGCTCTTCTGGGTAGGGCAAGCTAGCGATGGACATACATCAGCTAACCTGGAGACGCCGAAGCCTGAGGCATTCCCACGGGAGGGCAGCCATTTCAGGAAGAGGGGACTAGGGTTATTTATTTAAATGGGAGCTAAGTAAACATCACACTTTTCTTCCTCTTTTAATATAAATATTTCCTTTTCTCTTTCAGTCCAGACCTAGTGCTTTAACCTTTGGGAGATGTTATATAACACCTCCTCTAGAGGGAACCTTGCTATAGGCTTATTAGTAAAGAGTCTGACACAAGGAATATTTTACCCCCATTCTACATGGACTGGGGAGGGGGAAGGTAGTAATAGCACCTGGACACATGTTATATGTAATCTGTTTTACACATGGGATAGCCCGTGTAACCCTCAAATCACCCCCACTTGATGTCAACTCTAGTAGTACTTTCATTGGATAGATGAGGAGATTAAGCACAGAGAGGGCAAGACACTTGTGCTCAGGTCAAACAGCCATAAAGAGGGCAGGGATATCTATGGACCTGGTAGTCAGAACCAGAGTCCATCCTCTCACCATTTTTCTTTCTCTCTCAAAATGAATGTGATGATTCAGAGATCAGGAGAGGAGAATGAGAGAGGAATGTTTGTACATTGAAGAATTTTTATAAAATAGTTTTCCAGCGTTTAAATTCTTTCAGTCACTTAAATGACAACAAAATCAGGCAGTTTGATTCCTGGTAAAAATACCAGTATTGCTGTGCAGTATAAAAAGTTTCACTTGCTAAAGGTTTATACTTGTATACACCAAAGTTTTTATTTTTATTTTTTTAAAGGTTTATTTATTTATGCATACAAGAGCTGGAGCACAGGCCAGGGATGCAGGGGAGTAGGAGGGTTCGCCAGAGACAGAGTGGGGAACAGAACAGGCAGACTGACTGAAACACACTGCCGAGGGGAGCAGTGGGCAAGACAGGAGAGGTCTGCCTCGCCATGTGGGTTTCCTCCCTGGCTGGCCGGGGATTGAACTTGTGCTGCAGAGGCTGCGGATTGCTTCATAGTGCGGTGCTTAACCCTCTGCGCCACCAGGGAGGCCCTACACCAAAGTTTTTAATGAAAAAATTCATTTGGAAACACAGCCAAGAAGCCTTACTCATTACCAGTGATGGAGCAAATGCTACCTGTGTAGGGATTAGTCAACACTGGGTCCATAGAATGACTGTTGAGAATTGTTTAAAAATTGCTCAGTACTTACTCTAGCCATTTCTATGCAGAAAAAGTAATTTTTAGAACTTATCCCATAAACATTTCCATGTAAATATGAACAATTCATGTCAAGATCCAGGCCTCCATGTTAAATCTTGAGTCTGGGCCCAAATGGTTTAAGATACTCCTGGGAAAGAGTAATCTGTACCACCCTATATGTCAAGTCACCTAGTTACGTGGGCCAAGTGAACACTTACAGCGTGGGGACAACATGTGCTGTAAGAGTAAAGTACACACTGGATTCTGACGACGTTGCTTAAAAAAAATATATAAAATATCTCATTAAATTTTTTATATTGATTACACATTGAAATGATAACATTTGGGCAGTTTGGGTTAAATAAAATAGACTAGTAAGATTAATTTGATCTGTTATTCTTTTCTCTATTTAATGTGGCCACTTTGGAAATTTAAAATTATACATGGCTCTCACTCTGTTTCTGCTGGACATTAGCCACTGAGCTCACCAGTCATGTGTACAGTCTGTGTTTTTCCTAGGAAACCTGAAAGGGAGCAGGAGGGCAGACGGCGAGGTGGAGATTTGATTTAAACAAACGATATTGGTCTGGGCGATTGAGATCTGAATTTCAGTTCTATCTCTTCTTCCTAAAGGTGGTTGACTGTGGACAAGCTACTTCAATCTTTTTGAACCTCCATAGTCCCTCGTAATGTGAGATCATCCTCATCTGGCTCTCTAAATTTTAGAAGAAATTCTTCCCTGAAAAAATGCAACCAATTTGCCTTCTCAGGTCCTGTCTCTTGGCTCAAAAAGGTACCTAGGCAGGGTGACCCCCGTTCAAACACCAGTGGGTTGTCCCACAGCTTTCTCTAGTCACCTGCTTTCCCTTCTCTGAGTAATTACTTCACAAATCTTCCTTTCTCCTCAAGGCTATATGTTACCTTCTCCTCTACATTCCTTCAATTTTTAGGGTTTGTTGAGGATGTAAACTGCCCTCCACTCCAATTGCAAATCAGTTTCTACCTGCCACCATCTACTCCTACTCCCTTCCTCTTTACAATTGATGAACCGCCCATCTGTCCATCCGCCTAGCTGGCTCATCTCCACATGTGCTTTGGACCTCTCTACCTCTTGCCAGGATTGACTGGTTTGGTGGTCCCTCTCTCTCTCAGTCATTTCTCATCTCTCCCTAATTATGGGAGCATTTCCATCCCTGTGTCTCACCTCTTTCCAGCCACTGTTTTACTTTACTGATGATCTTCACAATATTCTTGTTCATATTAATACATAATTTTGTGTCCATGTCATCGTGTTCCAGTAAATCTCAGTGTTGGCCAATGAGGCAAAGTCCTCTCTAGTCTCCTGAAATTTCTTTAATCAAGGGTAGTGCCCTAGATCTCCAGGTGGTCCTCATTTTTCTCAACATCTCAAATGGATACAACTGATCTCTCTCTGGCTTCTGTAACTTCATCAATTCCTTCTCTTCTACCTAACATCTAATTTAGGATTCCGATGTAGGATCAGTCCCAGGCTTTTGTATCTTTATGTTCCCTCACTTGGTAGTCACTTTGGGAGCTTCAAATTCCACCGGTGTGGTAGCCATTCCAAAATTTATAGCCATTCTCATGTATTTACATATGGCCTATTGACTGTTATGAATTCCAAGCTATATAAAATTATCTATTTGATACCTCCAATTACATATCCATAGACATCTTAGACTGAATTTTTCCAAAATTGAAATACTAATTTCTCATTCATGCTGTCTCCCCTGTTTTTAAGACAGAATCTTGGGCATCATCCTTACTTTCTTCTTTCATTCTCTATATCCAATCCATTGGCTAAAAAAATCATTTCAAATATTGAAGTCACCAGAAAACCTGCTCACTTTGCTCCATCTCCATTAACCCACAGTGGTACAAGTCACCAGTTTTCTGCCCTGGTGGGATTCCCCCAGTCACCCCCAATTTTTACATTCACATTTCAACATACCATTTCCTCTACAAAAGTCACAAAGAGGGGCTTCCGTGAGTCAAATGAAATTCAACCACATTCCTAGGATCCCCAAAGTCCCCCCTGATTTAGGCCCTACCAAGTTTCTTGGCTTTGTGTTCTATTCTCTCTGACCTTGCTGTTCTAGCCACAGGCCTCATTTCAGCTCCTAGAACATGCTGAACCTTTCCAACCTCAGGGCCTTTTAATCTGTCTGGAAGCACCTTCCTATTACTGTTTACAGAGTTGCTTCTTTCACCTGTCAGCTCTCAGCTTAAGCATTCCTTCCCTGTGAGACCCCCTGATCTGCCTAAGCAGCCTACTTTGTTATTCCCCATCACTGAATCTTGGTGGTTATTTTCATAGCCCTTAATATAATGGAGGCTGTTATAATCATTTACTACTTATTTCTTATCCCAACCTTATGATAAAATCTATAAAGGTTTATTTTGTGCTCTGCTATAAACTGTACATAGTATAATTTCTCCCATGTATCAGATAGGCAATAAATACTTGAGGAATGAAGAAGGGCGGAAGAAGGAAGACTGCCTGATTCCCTAGTTCTGTCTCCCCTTCCCCATGGGATAAAATAAAATCTGCTTGGCCTCCCTGGTGGCACAGAGGGTTAAGATGCAACCTATGAAGCTGTCCACAGCCACTGCAGCATGAGTTCAATCCACCACCTGCCAGGGAGCAGCCCACATGGTGCAGCAGACCTCTCCTGACTCACCCCCGCTCCTCTCAGCAGTGTACTTTGGTCAATCTGCCTGTTCTGTTTCCCACTCTGTCTCTGGTGAATCCTCTCACCCCCCACACCCCTAGCCTATACCCCAGCTCTAGTATGCATAAATAAATAAATCTTTAAAAATAAAAAAATAAAATCTACTTGTTTCCAGGTGATAGGCCATAAAATTTATTCTAAATCAAATACTTGCCTCTTGACCTAAGAATTAGAAATCTGTTATCATCTCTTACTAACCTTGTA